ACAGCCCATGTGTTGTCGCCAATTGTCAAAGGGAGTTGTGGTTGGCCCCGTCCTCGCTTGGGCGGAGACGACTTCGTAGTCGGGTGTGCGGGAGGTATAGCCGACCTGCAGCAGTGGGCGACGCCGACTTGGGCGAGCCGGTCGACGGGTTGGTCGACCTGCACGGGGCCACTGCGAGGCCGCCGACCTTGGGGGCGCCGACGGCCGACTTCAACACTGGGAGGTCGACTTGGGAGGTCGACCAGAGGAGGGCGTCGACTTGGGGACGCCGACCCGGTGATGCCGACTTGATGTGGTCGGCTGACAGCTATGCTGGTCGACCTGGAGCTGGTCGACCAGGAGTGTGGTCGACCTGGAGCTGGTCGACCAAGGGTGTGGTCGACTTGGTGAGGTCGACAGGAGGTGGTCGTCGACCTGGTGGTCGACGGGCACGAGGAGAAGGAGCTGATCGATTTGGTTGCCCGGTCGACCAGGTTACCCGGGCGACGGGGCTCTGCGGAGGAGTACGACAGTCGCCCAGGTGGTCTTGGCAAGGTCGACCTCGGAGGTGGTATCCCGAGGTCGACGTGGCTGATCAGGTGCAGCCACCAGCACATGGACGATTTGGTGTATGCGCTGTGCAGGTGACGAAGTACAGCACGCCAATCAACTACGAGCACCTGCGAAGCGGGTGCGCTGTTGTCCTGCGGGTGCAACGCTGTGCAGCCGTCTTGCTGCAGCGTTGGCACGCCGTCGACTTGCAGTGTTGGCAGGCCGCGAATTTGCACTGCTGGAGCGCGGTCGACCGTGCTACGCTGGCAATCGACCTGCATGCATGCTAGCATCCGATGTAGTCTTGCTTGCCAACATCATTCTGAACTATTTGTTGTTAATCTTTGCTAGTGGAACTCTTGCAAAATCTCCCAGTGGATGTGCAAGTAGAGAACACACAAGCAAACGACTAAGGAACGAACGCAGAGATCACTCCCACCCCGTGCCTAGCCCGTAGTCTAGCTCCCGATAAGTAAGTTATCTCCGCATGGTGCGGTGAGCGTGGACGGCACCGCTACTTACTTTCAGTCTAGTCGACTTAGTCCCAATTACCTATCGTGTTCGTAGGCCGGCAGCAGCGTGTTAGTCACTATGGTGTGTGCCGTAGGTGACGCAGGCGTAGTGGATACCCTGGAGACACGGCTGGCTGATGCGAGGAGGCGCCACGCAGATGGCGAATACGGGGAGACGCTCCCTTTGGCGGTCGTCGAGGTAGGCATCCGCGCCATGTGGGCGACGGAGCACTCTTCTCGACCAGTCTCTCCTCGACCGGTGAACAGCGAAGGCGGCGTCGACGTGGGCGTCAACGTCGGTGACCAAGTCGGCAGCAGTGCGGGAGGCACGTCGACGCAAAGAGGAGTCATCCACGCCGATGAAGTCGGCGGCGTTCAGGCACGAGGAATGCAGTCGTCGGCGGCTGCACGGTCCTCGCATGGCGACGTCGGAGGTCGACGAAGCGGATTGACGCCGTCGTCGGCGACGCACGTGACAGCGGGTGGGATAGCGCCGAGCTACGGCTACTTCAAGATTACGCCGGACAGAATCTCGGTCACCCCCCTGCTGGTTGGTCGACCCGACATCATCACGTGGAAGGAGGCGATCGAGCCCCAGCTAGAGATGGCCGGGCTGAAGTGCTTCGCCGACGGCACCGTGGCGACGCCGTCGGAGAACAACCCTGAGCTGCGTGCAAAGTTTCGCATTGTGCAGCTGCTGACCTTCACGGTCATCTCACGGTGCTGCTCGCCGGGCGTGCAGATCGCCCTGAAGCCGTGCAGGGACTACCTGGACGCCGGCCACCAGGCGTGGCACTTCATCGAGTCGACGTACCAGGTCACCGACGACCTGTACATCGGCCAGCTCGAGGAGCAGATGACGCATCTGCGGATGGGCGACCAGGAGACGGCGACCGACTACTGCAACCGGGCACGGCGACTTCTCGCCACCATGAGGATGTCCGGCGTGCAGTACTCAACGGCGTCGTACATCACGCACGTCCTAAAGGGGCTCCCGAGCAGCTACAACCTAATGAAGCGGATGTTGGTGGTGCCGAACACGCGGGCGACGCTCAACAAGGACTCCCTGACCTCATTCATCCTCAGGGACGAGTCGATGCAGGAGGCCGAGCGCTCCATGGAGCTCCTGCCGCAGGTGAACTACGCCGCCCCGGGGAAGCAAGGTGGTCGACCGGGACAGCGCGGGCAGTCTGGCGGCAGTTGAAGTGGTGGTCGGAAGCCCGCCAAGGAAGCTGACAAGAGGAAGTCGACCCAGGATAGCGGTCGAGGAGGAAGTAGTCTACGTCGGGAGTGCTAGTTGTGCCACAGCCCCGACCATCTCTCCTTCGAGTGCCCCGACCGCAGCGACTCCGACGACGACGACGCCAAAGGAGGCCGAGGGAGGTCGGCCGGGCGTCGCCCTCGTCGGGAGAGTAAGCCGCGCAAGGAGAAGCAGTCGACCAAGACGACGTCCACCTCGGCGAAGGACGCCAACTCTTCCGCAGGCGGCAAGGGGCGAGGCGACAACGAGGCGTCGTGCTCACTGGTCGGCGTCGTTGAGCCGACCGTCTCGCTGGCGCCGGAGGCCGGCGAGGACTTCCACGTGATGGCGGCAGCCGTGCAGGCGAACCCGGCGGTGGTCTTGCTCTACAGTGGTTGCTCACACCACCTAATGGGGACGAAGGAGGCCCTGTCGACTTGGGGCCGAACGGCAACGTCAAGCACGTGCGCGGCTTTAATGGGGCGCTGCAGACCGTCCAGGGCCGCGGGACCGTCGCCCTGCAAGGAGAGGCCGGGAAGCAGGTGCTCATCCCCGACGTGCTCTACGTCCCGGGCGTGCATGCCAACCTGCTGTCAGCTGGCCAACTGAAGGAGAGCGGCGTGAAGCTGCAGGACGAGGGCGACGGGATGTTGATCGTCTCGGCGGCCGAGGACGTCCTAGGTCGGGCAACATACACCGGCCGGGTCCTCTGCACCGACCTACGCCCGTGCACGGCGACGTCGACGTCGACCACGATGGAGACGGTGGCTCTGCGGACCATGGCCACGGCAACGAAGTCGACGCGGCCAGGTGGCACGTACGGATTGCTCACGTCAGCGTCGACACCATCACAAGCTCGGTGACGCACGAGGTCGCCACCGGCCTAGACGTCAAGCCGTCGACCGGCACCGAGTCTCCGTGTGTCTCGTGCGTCGGTGGGAAGCTGGTACGGCACACCTTCCCCGACAAGGGCCCGGACGCCGACGACGCCCTGGCTCTCGTGGATATCGACCTGTGTGGGCCATTTCAGGTGGCTGCCAAGGACGGGAGCCTGTACTTCTACGTGTGGGTGAGGCCGGTCGCCAAGAAGTCCGACGTGCTGCGAGAGTTCGGGAAGTGGCTGGTGGTGGTTGAGCGACAGACGAAGAAGTCGGTGCTGATGCTGCGCTCTGACCGGGGAGGGGAGTTCCTCAAGAAGCAGTTCACCGACTTCGTGGACGGCAAGGGCATCGTCCACGCTTTGACCTGCCCCTACACACCGCAGCAGAATGGCATGGCGGAGCGGGAGATGCGGACGGTGGTGGAGTCGGTGCGGACGATGCTGCTGCACATGGGCGTCCAGCACCACTGGTGGCACCTTGCTCTGCGGCAGGCCGTCTGGGTCTGCAACTTCCTTGAGAGGTCGACGCTGCCGCCGGGGACGACACCGTACCAGCTGCTCACTGGGAAGAAGCCCGACTTGTCGCTAGCACGAGTGTGGGGCTGCATGACGCAGTTCCTCGTCCCCGAGCAACAGCGTGGTGGGAAGCTGAAGCCGAAGGCCAGGTGGGGCCTTCATCTCGGTGTGTCGGAGGAGAGCAAGGGATGGGAGATCCTGGACCTCATTGACAACAGAGTGGTCACCACGTCGGACGTGGTGTTCTACGAGACAATGTCGCTCGAGGTCTGGAAGTCGGAGCACGGGCCGGCGTCGGGGCGGAAGCAGGTCAACCTGCCGACAGACACCTCGACGGCGACGCTCTCGCTGCTCGCCGAGGTCGGTGAGCTTTCTGATGAGGACGCCGAGGTCGTCCGCCCTCCTTCCCCTGCCCCCCCTGCCCCCCCTGCCCCCCCTGCCCCACCCCTTGTAGCCGACCTGCGTACGTTGACATTGACGCTGGTCAGCGGCGATGAGGGGAGAAGTGGGCCGTCATCTGTGGCGCCGGCCAAGAACATCGCCGGTGGCCGATGTGACGTCCAGCAAGTCAGCGTGGGAGTGAAGTTGACGCCGACAGGGGAGGTGCAGGCCGAGGAGGTGCAGCCGACTTTGGTGAAGCCGACGAAGGAGGAATCGGCAAGGCATAAGCGGACAGGGGAGCAGGCAGCAGCGAAGCCGGCCAAGGAGCAGTCGGCGACCGGGCAGTCGGCCGGGGAGCCGACCGAAGGGGAGAAGTCGATAGGGACGCCGACTGAGGTGCAGCAGGACGTCGAGGGCAGCGACGCCGGGGACGACGAAGGGGAGCCGTCCACCGACAGCGACGTGGTGAAGGTCCAGCCTGGACCACGACATACATGCCGAATTCGGAGGCCGCCCGACTTCTTCGTACCGGCCGCCTTCAACACGGTGTACGACGAGGTCGACGACGACCTGCTGTACGACGATGCCGAGGAGGATGAAGACCTGCCGGAGCTCGACCCTGACATGCACGCCGACCCCGAGCACCGTTGGGACATAGCGACGATGACGGTGAAGGAGGCGCTGTCGAGCTGGAAGGGCAAGGCGGCGAAAGCCGCCATGGACAAGGAGATCCGCAGCCTCATCGGCATGGGGACTTGGGAGCTGGTCGAACGCCCACGTGGGGTCAACATCATGAAGAACCGGTGGGTGCTGACGACCAAGTATCACATCGACGACACCGTTGAGCGCGAGAAGGCGAGGCTGGTCGTGAAGGGCTTCACGCAGGTGTATGGCGCTGACTACGACGAGACGCCCCGGTGCGCAGCTACGTCACGCTGAGGATCTTCCTCAGCATCGTCGCCGTCCTCGACCTCAACCTGATGCAGCTCGACATGAAGAATGCCTTCCTGCAGAGCAAGCTCGACAGGGTGCTGTACATGAACCAGCCGGACTACTTCAACGACGGGACCGGCCGGGTGTGCAAGCTGCTGAAGAGCCTGTACGGGCTGAAGCAGTCGCCGCTGTTGTGGTACAAGGCGCTCGACGACGTGCTGAGGGGCGCCGGCTGGAAGAAGAGCCAGGTCGACCAGGCGCTGAGCTTCAAGGTCGGCAAGGATGGTATGGCCTGCTGGGTGCTGGTCTACGTGGACGACCTGCTGGCCGCCAGCAGCAGCATGGCCATGTTGAAGGAGCTGAAGGAGCTGCTGGAGGCCGCCTTTTCGAGCTGCGTGAGATCTCGCCCGTGGAGAAGTACCTCGGCCTGGAGATCGTGCGCGACAGGCTGGCGAGGAATTTGTGGCTGCACCAGCAGGGCTACGCCGATAAGCTGCGCAGGCGGTTCATCGATGAGGAGCAGACAGGGCGCACCCCGAAGACGCCGGTCTCGGTCGACGCCTACGCCGAGCTGACGTTCGATGACGAGGAGGCACAAGAGCGCCAGGAAGAGGAATACCGGCAGAAGGTCGACTCGCTGTAGTTCGCGGCGACGACGACGAGGCCAGACATCGCCTTCGCCTGCAGCAAGCTGGGTAGCGGCCTCACGGTGAGGAGCGACAAGCACTGGCGCGAGGTCGACCGCTGCCTCACCTACCTCGCCAACACGCGTGACACCGCCCTGGAGTTCGGCGGTGGACCAGAGTCGCTGAAGCTGGTCGGCTATGTAGACGCCGGCGACGCCGGCGACAAGCAGAACCGGACAAGCACGGGCGGCTGCGTGTTCGTCTACGGAGGGGCCGCAGTCTCCTGGTCAAGCCAGCACATCAAGTGCGCGACGCTATCGTCGACCGAGTCGGAGTACGTGGCGGCAACCGAAGCCGACAAGGAGGGACGTCGCCTTCACCGGGGAGCCTGGCGCAGGCAGTAGACCGGTCGACGGAGGTGCCATTGAGTCCCCGGAGGAAAAGAGCCAGTGAAGCAAGGCGGACGCCGCAGCCAGATCTGCTCGTGCAGGCTTCCCTGAAGGAACGCTGTGGAGAAGTCCAGTGACCAAAGACTGTAGCGGGTAGCGGCGTAAGGTGCAGTCGCGAAAGAGACACCGAGACGCTCCAGAGTCAAGTTTGAAGGACAGTGGCGCAATGGTTTAGGTCGTACCTATGCCAGCGATAGAGGCATGTACTAGGCTAGAAGCAGCTGCAGCTCCTCCACATTGACCCTCGGAAGCAACTAGGCTAGACAAGCCGGAGAAGTGAGCCCAAGAAGCACGAGAGGCAGCAAGAGACTAGACAGGGGCAGTACGCAGATCACACAGATCCAGAGGAAACTCCTGGTAGCCCAAACTGAGTAGTGAGGCCCAGTGTGGGGCGGCTGTGGCAAGGCCGAAACGATGGTAGTAGAGGTCAATGAGGCGGCCAAAACACTGGCCAGGAGCGTGCAGACGTCCACAAGTCTGACCGAGGCGCCAACTGAACCTGAGTACGTACTGGCAGGGTTCGATAGGGGGAACTCGCAACTGCTGCTGCTGCTGCTGCTGCAGCATCCGCTGTCGCCACGTCAACATGGCCAGCTAGTACTAGTACTAGCAGCAACATTGGCGGAAGGAAGCGGTCTAGTGTAGCTAGGAGCGGTCAGGTGCGGTAGGGTGCGGTCGGGTGTGGTCGGGTATGATATAGTGGAGTGGAGAGCAGCTAGAAGCGGTCGGGTGCGGCTAGGGGTGGCCTGGTACGGCTAGGAGCGATCAGGTGTGGTAGGGTGTGTTTGAATGCGGTTGGGAGGGGTCTAGTGCGGTCGAGAGCGGTGAGGAGCAGCCGGGCAGAACGTAGCGAAGGCATGGGTGGCTGCTGCTGGCACTCTTGCTGGTGCTGCCCGCGCTAGCTGTTGCCGCTGGCGCTAGCTGCTGCTGCTGGCGCTAGCTGCTGCTGCTGGCGCTAGCTGCTACTGCTGGTGCTAGCTGCTGCCGCTGGCACTAGCTGCTAATGCTGGTGCTAGCTGCAGCTCTGCTGGCGGCGCGCTGCTGCTGTTGGCGCTCTGCAGATGCAGTGGCGGTGCACTGCTGCGGCTCGCGCTGGCGTGGGGTGGTGCGCTGCTGCTCGTGCTGGCGTGTGGAACGGTCGAGTGAGAGCGCACGGGGCTACTGGGTGAGCGCGGGCGGGGCTACGGGGTGCGCGCGGGGTGCGGGGTGCGCGCGAGTAAGGTGCGTACGGGGTGCGAGGTGCGAGCTACGGGCGGGACGGGCGGGGCGAGGCCGCGAGGGCTGCTAACGGGGGGGCGTGGGGCCGCTAACGAGGGGCCACAGGGGCCTTCGAAGGAAGGCCGCGGGGCCTTCGAAGGAAGGCCGCGGGGCCTTCGAAGGAATGGGGCGCGGGGTGCGAGTATGGCGCATATGGGGCGGGGTCACGGGGCCTTCTAATGGAGGCCGCGGGGCCGTCTAAGAGAGGCCGCGGGGCCTTCTAAGGGAGGCCACGTGGCCTTCTAAAGGAGGCCGCAGTGCCTTCTAAGGGAGGCCGCGGGGCCTTCGAACGAGCGGGGCACGGGGCGTGTATGAGGCGACGGGGCGCTCTCTAGGCGCTCTAAGGGACGGGGCGCGGGCTGGTGGGCCAATGGGAAAGAAAACTTGCTCTATATCATGTTAAACTAGGAACGGGAGAATGAATGACTAGAAATGAACAAACAAGGGTAGATATAGCTAACCCTAACCCTAACCCTAGAAAGAATTAGTAACACCTAGACTAGAACATACAAACCATATAGAATAAAGTTTGACAAGGGGGACGCAGTGTGCAGCATGAAGAGATCTGACGAAGGCTCCCAGGAGAACGTCACAAGACGTGCTCCAGTGGAAACGTCCTTACAGGTCGCAAACCTCTTGGGTGCAGGGAAAGTGACTGTGACCCCATAGTCCTGAAGATGTCCAACACCCACCAAGTTCCTGTGCTGGAGAACGAGGGATGTGGAGACTTGAGAGAGAACCAGAGGGGTCAACCGGACACGGGAGAGTGGTAGAACTGCGAGCAACCGCTGGTCCCAAGGTGGGATCAGCCAGAGCAACTGAGACTGGAATTGGCAGCTGTGTGACAGTGGTGTGGTCGCGACGGAAGCACTGGGACGCGCGAGAGTCAAGTGTAAAGGAAAAATCCGCGTCGGCAGTAGTCACACCTGGGCTAACAACTACACAAGCACCCATAGTAGAAACACAAACACCTACACTAGCAACATTTCATAGTACTAACTGTTGAATGAATGATTAGAAAAGACAATGACAAGGAAGCTATATGCAAACCCTAGCCAACCCCAGCCAACCCTAAACATAAAGGTACACCACCTAGACTAGCAAATACAAACTATAACAATTATAGTCTGACACAACACGCAAAGGTCCTAGTCTAAGTACACACAAAAGAATGCATGGCAAAATAAGAATCATCCATGATCATCTCAAACACATGGTAGCCACGACTGACTAATTAAGAGCTAAGGGAGGGAGCGGAAGCGTGGCAGGGAGGAACACCGATTCTCGATACCATGTCGTGAGGAGAATTGTGTGCATTACAGAATAGCATACAAGGGCATATAAGTGCTGGCCCTAAACCTAGAATATACGGTAGACCTAGCATACAAATACAAAACATAGAATTTGACAAAGTACCCTTTTGAATGACAACTCGGTAGAATCTCGGTTAGTGAACAGGTACATAACTGAAAAGGTATTCTTTTAGAACTATATATTTTCTTGTATTTTGTTTTATTTCCAATTCTTGTTCTCACTACTAGTACAGGAATTCATACCGCTGTAGTATTTCATCAAGTCTAGCCTCTACAAATATCTTAGGGCTTCACTCAGCCCAACAGCTTTAAGTTGAATACAATATTAATGGAAGTTCAGATTTGCGCCTACTTTATCATGCAATACCGCATGTGAGGCAAAAAAACAAAAACCCGTTCAGGTGGAATGCGTTTTAAACTATATTAACATCTAAAAACAGAAAAATATGGTGCATGCCTCCCTAAAAGCGTGCCATCTAACAAGGATATGAATATTTTTGTTTTGGCCTACGAGGGTCATATTTGAGATTCAAACATTTGAGGGGCTATTTTTCCTTGTAAATATGTATAATCTCATAGCACTAAGGGTGCGAAACCACTTTGATGGTTTCGGATCGTTTAACGAACCATAGTGACCGTGCAATGTCGCACACAAACGGTAACTGGGTATAGCGTTTGACCAAAATACGCGGGAAACCAACGAACAAACGGACACATAACCATCAAACGGACGGTTGCAAAATAGTTTACACTGGTTGGCGCACGGAGATCCATGGGACAAGAGTGATAACGCGCCTCTGACTTTCATCCAAATCGATGGGCGAAACGAAACACTCGCGGAGTCAAACCACAACGGGAGAGATTTGCAACAGAAACAGGTTTCTCAAAAATTCTATTGCACGCGTGGCGTTCATTTGCTCCAGTAGTAGACGATTGGTGCGAACATTGCAGTAGTAGTCGTGCCTGGCATTTCCCACAGTCCTTCATTTATACAGCAGATTACCCGATAAGGGTATTGTATCCCTTAAAATTTGTGTTCGCACTTGTATCATCATGTCGTTTAGTACCGTAATATTCCCCACCCGAAATTTTTGCCCTGTGTGGGTAGCGCGGACGTAGTACATGCACTGTTGAACTAAACAACAATTTTGTCGCACGTTCATCCCTGCGAAAGTATATGCCCGGGGAACACTTGATACTGTGCGACGGGTCTCACGCGTTCATATGGGTCACGGTCATATGAATGTTGCGCAGGATTGCTCAGGCACACATGCACGACCCTATATGACTACGCAGTTTACGACGCAAAAACCTATATGACCGTGCGCTTTACTCGCACACATCTATATGACCACGCACAAACCTATATGGGTGCCTCTGTCACATATATGGGTGCGCATGTCACATATGACCGCGCAAAACCGAATGCAATTTTGGAATCATATACAAAGAATCATATGGCGCCATACCTATATGATCGTGCATACATGTTGCCCGATGTATAGTTTTGCCACATTAGTTTGATAAGGTTTAAATATGTGGCGATTTGTGCATACCGTACATGTTGCATTCATATGGCATCGGTTTAGAGGTCTATGCCTATCTAGCTTTATGCCTGTCTATTTTGTTAATAAATGTTCAAAAGAGAGAGTATGGGTTCATGATGCAAGCAGTTTAAGGTTTCAAGCCAGTGTCTGCGCCTTTATTGTGGTGGATTACGAAGGAAGGCATCGATGATGTCATCAGGCATATTGATGGGGGTTACTGCACACGTTGATCAAACATTGCCATGAGTAGATTACACGAAATGAAAATATAGGTACAAGCATATGTTATTAGACCGTGTTCCAAAAAAAAAAAACAAACAAACAATCAAACAAACATACACCATCATAGTTCCCACTTGTTGGAAGCACGCTGGCCTTACCGGAGCGAGGTGAATTTGTTGTGGCATTGTTCAGTGATATAGACATGCCTAAGTTGTGCTGTGAATCGGCA